TTATGTTTATTAGATTATTTATGATTTTCGGGAATTTTTAGAAAATACTCGTGTGTGTCTGAACGTTGAGTATGGACTTAACAATTTTAATTGTCACATTTAGAAATTATTGTTTTCTTTTATGCATTGAGTGTGGGTACATTAAAAGTTTATTATGTGTATAAATTGATAAGAAACATATGATGGTTAATATGATTTGGAGTGATGTTGGAGTATTAGGGGTTGTGGGTTCAAATCTTGGCTTGAGAAAATAAAGATAAATTTTTTTGTAATGTAATCCGCTGGGCGCATCAGAAATGCGCTATTTCTCTCAAAATTTTTCCTTACCTTCAAACTTGATTTTGAGGGAAAAATCTTGATTTTCTTGAGAAGCTCCAAGAGGTAAGTTGATTTATCTCAATCTCCTCTACATTTCTACCGTTTTATTTTTTAAAACAGTGCATTTTCTATTTTTATCCTCACTTGAATGAGCTTGAATGAAAGTAGGAAAAATGTTATTGTAGGTTTTACACCTAGGATACTAGAATAATGTTTAAAATTGAGGATTAGAAGTGGTTAAGCTAAAAACTTTAAGAGTCCTAATTCGTAGGTACTATTCATTGAATTTTTGGGACTTGTGTTAACAGACTTAGAAATTGGTATCTTCATAAAAGTTGTAGCTCTTTAAGTTGTCAAAATTAAAAAACTGATTTCACAATAAACAAATATTTATAGTTTAAGTTATGCCCATTTTACTATCAAGTGTTCTAGCTGTGACGTTAAGAGGTAGCCCTGTTTCAACAGCCTAGGTTTTTGAATTATTGAGATTGATACGTGTGAAATTAGGACTTGATTCCTTCATAAAAGTTGTAGAAAATTATATCCCTGAAATTTAGAAATTTATTTCATGTTAATATCTTATGTGTAGCAAGAGTTATAATCCAATTACCAAGCCATGTTCAGAGTGTTATTGTAGTTGAGCCTAGTTGGAAACAACCACTAAAAACTGAAAACTGCATCTATTCTATAGGGTATTTGAATTTATTTCCTTCATCAATATTGTAGGTAATTAAGTTATTGAAATTTTGGCTCAAATCTCATGCCAAAACAGCTTATATAACTCTAGAAAATTTCGAAATACTGAACCTTGTCCATGGTTGTTATTAGGATTCTTTCTACTCTAAGTGCCTACAAAATAGGACAATTTTCTAAGTTAATTGTAAGTTAAATGTGAGCTTAAAATATTATTAGAAATGGATTAGCAATACAAAGTGAATTTAAATTCTCATGAGATAGAATCATAGAAATATAAGATTCTAACTAGCATTTTATTACGTATATAGATTTTGCTGAAACACAACATCAAGCTTTGAAAGCAATAAGTGTGAACGTATCAGGTAAGGGGTAGGATAACTTTTATAATTCACTTTTGCTTGAAATAGCATTGAGAAGAAGTCCCTTTACTTCTAAGCTAATTAGAAATTTATTTGGAATTATTTGAATACTATTTCTATTTTTATGAATTTTTAAAGTTTTAAGATTATGTGAATTTTATGGCTTCTAAATGGAGCAACTTGAGTGTATGGAACCTTGTATGATTATAAGGCATCCATGAATGTTGTTTGAATCGATTGCTTAATCATTAGTAATTTTATATGATTTATTGATGAATTTAGATTGAGAATTAGCCTATTTCTATGTTTAGTATTATGATAATTGCTTTAAATTGATTATTGAGATATATTGTATGTATGTTATGAAGCATGATAAGTAGAAAATTATTGTGGAATGTTTTTGTTAAGATGGATTAGCATGTAGAATTGCATTGTATAAGTTGGTGGAATGGAGGAAAGGTGTGAGAAATGAACTATGTGAGAAAGAAAACTATTTTTTTGATATATTAAATTGAATTTTATAATTTAATTATGAAGTGAATTTTTATATTTTATTTAATTAATAAATATTTTTCAAAAGTATTAGAATAATTTTGATCTAGGAGAAAACAAGTAATTGTAAGTGAAAATGAATTTTTAATAATTTTGAGGAAATTATTTGCAATTATTATTATTATTTAAGAAAAATAAATTAAAATTGAGAAAATTATAATTTTGAGTGATGATGAATATGATGAGGTGGAAGGATGGTTTGGTGAAAAGTAGAAGTGTTCTGGGCTATTTTTGGTTATTTTGCAGGTGTTAAAATTTTTTGGAATGTCCGATTTAAAGGGGAAACTTTGTCAGATTTTTCTTAAGAAATAACCTAGTATTATTTTGAAGAAGTTAAAATGTGATTTAAGTATAATGAGGTGAAACAAATTTGAAAGAGCGTGAAGAAGTTATGATAAGTCATGCATCATGTTCATGAGTCGGAGATTGAGTGTATGAGGAGGATATGGAAAATCGTGGTCTGCTCCATGCTAACCTCGGGGATGATTGAGTGTGATCGAGCTCATATGTGGCTCAGGCTCGCTACCTAAGCTGTGAGACTCTCACTACCAAGCTTGATTATCCTGACTAAAGCCCCAGGGTTTCTCATGATCAGTTGAGCTTGACAAGTAATTATGAGTATACTACCGCGAGGCGGTGAGAGGTTCCAGTGAAACTCCTGATCCTTCTCGAAAAGAAAAAAAAAAACTAAACAAAAAGAGAAAAGAGAAAGTGGTTTTGGGATCCTCATGGTCTTGCATACTAGGATGTGTCCTAGAAAAGATTAGTGGATACATTGCATTCATAATATCATATCATTTGTGTGTTGATTACTAGTATGTTTGTATGTGTAATTTCTAATTAACTCAATGTTATTTGCATGCTCTAAGTGAATATAAAGTTGTGTTACCCTTTCTGTGCATGTATTGTTATTATGAAATGTTTGCATAGGTGACGTTGAACACAACTCATCCCCGGTATCATCTCCAAGTAAAGTTTAAATACGATCACTGCAAGTACTAAGTAGAGGACTTGATCGGACACTACTACAGTGCTACAAGAGATACTTTATTTTAGTGGACGTACGAAATATATCTCCTCTTTAGTTAGGTTGTATAGTTAGTTTGTTTGTTCTGGTCTTGTGAACCCTTGTTAGGTGTATTTTGGGATGACTTTGTGTATATTTACTATCTAGTTATATTTGATACTTATGAATGATATGTATATTAATCACTAAGTGTATGTTCTAATTATTGTGTACCTTACTTATACAAGAGTGTATTGGTAATCAAATACTAAGAGGAACCAATAATAATTCATAAATCATAATAAAGTGAATGTTGGTATTAAAGGTGTCACAATAAGCCATGTTCAACACCTCTTATAAGCAACATCAAAGTTTTATTTTATACTATGAACATTATTCAAGATGTTGACTCCTATCACAAATTCATTCAAAAACTTTTATATTTGACCAATACACAACCATATATTAGTTATGTTATACACCTGTTAAGGCAGTTTTTTCAAAATCCAACTATACATCATCATCATATTGTTCAACATGTGCTCAAATACATCAAGTTTAATCCTTCACAAGGATTTTTTTTTTTTTAATTCTGACATATAATTAAAGGCCTTCAATGACTTTAATTGACTTTTTGTGAGAATTTTTTGATTTCATGGAAATCTAAGAAATAAAATATTATTTTTCATTTTTTAACGAAAGATGAATACCGCATCCTTGCCACAATGACTTGTGGCTTAACTACCTTCTCCAAGATCTACCTATTCAATATTTCTCTATTATGACAACAAGTAGTTAGACACGTTACTAATAACCCTAGTTTTCATAAATATACCAAATATATTGACATCGCTATTTAGGATTATGGTTTTCAAATAAAGTTTTAGGGTAATTGATTTCAATTACCTAGTGTCAAACAATTTAAGATAGGTTTAGATATTGTATTTTGTAACTTTTTTACAATAATTAAGATTTTCATATATAATTTTTTTTCTTTAACATTCCTTTTTTTTTTCTTCTTTTATGGATATTCACTTGTTTGTCTTTCTTAATTTATCATGTTAATTCTATAAATTATGGATAATACGTGTTCTACACCAAAATTTTTATAACATTCCATATGATTATGATGAAGTAGATAATACAAAATTTAATAAGAGATATTATGAAGTAAGTAATACAAAATGTAATAAGAGATAAAATAGAATTTTCATTCAATAACAATGAAAGTTATTTGATAGATTAAAAAAAAAACATAAGAAACTTAAAAAAATCTTAATTTTTTTTTAGTCATAATAACTTTAGCAATGTTAATATGTGTACATTCTTTTAATAAATAATTGATTTTCATATTTGACAATTTGGGGATTTTTTTCAAGTTTCATTTTCAACATAAATTCCAATTTAATGTGTTTTTAGTTCGACAATAACCTTCTATTTATTATTAATATTATCTTAATGAACCTTCCATGTTAATAGTTTCCTTAATCTTTATTTTGTTAATAGAACTATTGGTAGTAGTATCTCCAATTCAGCTTCAAAATCATTATTGAGTGCAAATGTCCAATGTTTACCTTTTTCATAAAAAAAGCTTCCAAATTTTCAGACTTACCTTATTTTCAACAGGAATATTAGAAAAAAAAACATAATTATTAGTCCATATTAATTAAATTAGTTTTGATTTTGATCTTTATAAATTTCCTAATTTATGTTTTATTTTTTAAAAATCTAAAATAAATATTTATAGCTTCTATAAATTTTAATTTTCATAAAATATATTTTTTTCTTATTTCAAAATTTGAAATTATTGATCTTTCACCTCCATTTCAGGATAAACAATTTTTTTTCTCCTTTTTAGACATTTTTATTTAAATTATTTATTCACATTATATTATATAATTAGTATTTTGAATGAAATTAACTAGGTTTAAAATCTTACTCAATTAGAAACCAAACAAGAAGAAATTTATATTTTAAGGAAATAATAATATGTTTGTTCCATACATGAATATTGGGTGCAAGAACATTGTACATTCTCCACACCCATGAAGTAACTAATTTACTACTCAATGTTGCTTCCTGTAACTCAATTCCACTTCTTCCACACTTTTCCTTCTTCTCCTTCTTCTCATTTTTTCCCTCTTCAATTCCCTAAAACCAAAACCAAAACCAAATTCCTCGTTCGTTGTTCCACTTCCAACTCTCGAACACGAATCCGGACCCGTCCCTCCTCCGCCATTGAACAAATTGCGGAAAAGCTCCGCAGCCTCGGCATCACCGAATCGCCTCCCTCTTCATCTGGCGGCGAAAACCGCGTGCTGTTCCCGCACGAACTCCCTAAGCAGGGCGGGGGTCAAACGTTCGAGCCAAGCTGGAGCACGCCACTGAACCCGGTGCCGGTCCCTGGGAGCGGCATCGCGGCGATGAGTGCGAGCGAGGTGGAGAGGCGGAGGAAGCGGAGGGAAGAAGAGTTGAGGAGGAGGAGGGAGATGGTGCCTACGCTGGCCGAGCTGAGCCTTCCGAACTCCGAGATCCGGCGGCTGACGACGCTAGGGTTCGCGGCGAGGCGGAAGGTGCGGCTTGCGAAAGCCGGCGTCACGGAGCGGATTGTGAACGTGATTCACGAGCTGTGGGAACGCTCCGAGGTGGTGAGGATCCTTTGTGAGGAGTTTTGTAGATTTGACATGAGAAGGACTCATGATTTGTTGGAGGTATGTTAACAAACACCACTGCCACTTTTGTATAGAAGTTCTGTTTGTTTATACTGTTTTCTCTGGCTTCCATGGCCTACTCATTCATGAAATTGGATTAAGCTTTTCAATAAATTTCTTTATCTACACTATGTTGAACAAAAAATAAGAAGAAAAAATAATTAAGGTTTTTTTTAAGGTAAAATCAAATTATGCACTTGACTTTGTAACTTTCCTAAAAAACTATCTCATAACTTTTTATAGAGATGCATAAATTAATTTTAATTTGTGAGAAAGAAAATAAGTTTTATTTAAAATCAACTTATATACTTACTTAACTTTTGAATCAGTCTCTCATTTGAAAACTGTAATGTATAAATTGATTTTAATTTATGGAAAAGTTCAATTTGATGTACCTTCGTAAGATATTGGGTGGATAAACCTCTCCACAGCAGACCCGGTAAAATTATTCGAGTTTCTCATACAAACCAAAATCAACTTGTGCACTTAACTTTTCTAGAAGATTTTTTAATTTAATTTTTGGGTTTGAAAAAGCATAACTTGTTTTACCTTCTTATTTTCTTGTTCTACAAGTTTTTATGGAGAAGTTTATTTAAACAAAACTTTATCCTTTTTAGTGCGGTGAGAATGAGATTTGACTTTGTAACGACATTGCCGTTTATCCTTTTTACTGAGTTAAAATGCATTTCTTCAGCCATATAAGTAAATATAGGAAAATCCCATGTGGTTCAAAACTCAACAATACAGGTCTTGAAGTTGCTAAACATAAGTGTTCATGAGTGAATGTAGAAAAAAACCCATTTGGTTCAAAACTCAGCAATACAACTCTTCAAGTTCTTAAACTGTAAGTGCTGCAGGTTTTCTGCCTATGCACCAGTGAATAGTTGACACCAATTTTCAGGGTTTGATAAGTTTCGGCTTCTAGTTGTTAAGTTTGTATCCATTTTTCTCTTTAGTACAACAATGTTACTTTATTTTCAGGTTGTGTCTAGTTTCCAAGATATTGTTGTTTTATTGCTTCCTCAGTAATTTTTTAGTCAGGTGGCCAAGTGAAAATGAAGTGTTATATTTATAATTATTAGTTAAAGCCTATCAAGTGAAAATAACCAAACACTGCCTAAGTTTTCAGCCACAGGAGTTCTTTACCTCTCCCCCACCCTTTCCCCCCTCAATAACCTATAGTTGGAGAGCTATCTGCAGTTGAGCCTTTTTCTCCAGTATGATATCATGATTAATGTGCCCTGTGTATAAATGATTTGGTTGTAGCTTTTCTTCCTTTCATTTTCAGAGAAAAACTGGAGGCCTTGTTGTTTGGAGATCTGGAACTAAGGTAATATTGTACAGAGGGACTGATTATAAGTATCCTAACTACCTATCAGATAAAGTTTTGAGACAAGACAACCCTAGTGATGATACTTCCCAGCTTGTCAGTGGTGATGGTAAATATTGTGATAAAAGCGAGAGTCACTTATCTGAATCAAAATCAGCAGCACGTGCTGTGGAAAATTCAAATTTCGAAACAGCAAAACCTGCATTAATACTAGGTGTTGGTACTCCCAATAAAGTGCGATTTCAACTGCCAGATGAGGCAGAGCTAGCCGAAGATACAGGATGCTTGCTAATGGGGCTTGGGCCACGATTTACTGATTGGTGGGGATGTGACCCTCTGCCTGTTGATGCTGACCTTCTGCCTGCCGTTGACCCTGGTTACAGGAAGCCTTTTCGTCTTCTTCCATATGGTGTGAATCCAAAATTATCAGCTGATGAAATGACCACATTGAAGAGACTAGGCAGACCTCTACCTAGTCATTTTGCATTAGGTAAGTTTGTTTGTTATAACATTGGCGGGTTAGCTTGTAACTGTCTCTAACCATAGCTGCCAACCCCAATAAAGAGGAATTGCATGTTGTAATACATGGATAGAACAATACATTGTATATGTCTCTCATCTTAATACACCTTGGTTCCCACTGTCGGGTTCCATCTTTCTGTATTTCTCTGCACCTAGAATTTCTTCTCTTCTCCTTTCTCTGATCTTCCTCTGCCCAGTATTCTGTTGTGTGCTGTGCATCCTGGATTCTTATCCTAACATTGTTCTACTTTTTCTTACCTGACCAAAGTTAGGTTTAATTGCTTTTCTTGTTTTGTTTCACAGGGAGAAACAGAAACCTTCAAGGATTGGCTGCTGCAATTATTAGGCTTTGGGAAAGATGTGAGATTGTCAAGATTGCTATAAAAAGAGGTGTGCAGAATACTAGCAGTAAGATAATGGCTAAAGAGTTAAAGGTCAGTTATTGTTTTCACTGATAATTAAATATGATAAATGGAAGTTTATAACCAGTCATAGTCTATGACTTCCTTTTCTTGTGCCGAATATTGTATGTGAATGACATTCTCTGCATTTAACTGCTATTATTGAATGATTAACAAGGCAATGCTCTTTAGACAAATTCAATAAAGTAATGTGGTCATGATATGATGTTGACTGATTAACTGCCATATGGAATTCTTTACTGGTCATAAGTTGCTAAATAGTTCTTTTATTGCTTGTGATTTCTGAAGATTGTAATCACCGTGGGATGTTTCTTTTATTTGGTGTAATTAAAATAAGTAAAATGTATCTTCTGAGAAAATTCTTATTGTTTTGACCTCTGACATTATTTATGTCGACAGGAATAGTAGACCTGAAGTCATATTTAAAACTGATAGGGTTGGCTTTTAACTTATCTCGTTTCTCTTTTTCCTACTCAAACGCAGATGGAAAAAAGACACAAAGATCCACCATCATTTTGAATTTACTATTTCATTACTGCTCTGGCAAACTGTCAGAGTAACTTTTTGAACATAGGTTTTGTAGCAGTAGTAAACTTGTAAGTTTTATGTAGATGTAATATTTGAGATGGTTGATTTAAAAAACTTAGTTAGAATACAATCTTGTTCAAAAACCAAAATGATATAATATGATACCATTATATCTCAATTTCATTTTAATAAAATATCTGCTTCTCTGCAGCGTCTGACTGGAGGAATTCTCCTTTCTCGTGATAGAGAATTCTTTGTTTTCTATAGAGGAAAGGACTACTTGCCAGCTACTGTGTCTTCAGTTATTAAAAAGCAGAGGAAAATTAGAATGCACAAACTGAAGGCTGGAAACAGTTCATCAGCTAAAGTCACTCCAGAACAGAAAGAGGGAACCATAGAGTGTGATTCTGAAGTAAAGGTTATGAACTTCCAGAAGGATACTAAACGACAAATGTTGACAAAGGCTGAGTTAGCTATTAAAAGAATTGGCATCAAATTTTCAATGGTATGATTTCATTAAAAAACTTCAATGTAGTACTTTTTACATTTTCTTTGAGTTACAAATGGTATAGGTTTTACATACAGGCCTTAGAAAAGAAAGCAAAGGCTGAAAAACGTCTAGCAGATATAATAAATGCAGAGAGTCCCCAAGAGCAAGAGCTAGATAAAGAGGGAATTACTAAAGAAGAGAAATACATGCTGCGGAGGATTGGTTTGACAATGAAACCCTTCCTGTTACTAGGTGATTCTTGACAATGATTTTTGAAGTTCACAACTGTAGATAGTTGAATATTCTAACTTTGGGATGAAATGCATGACATCTTTAAAGCTATTTTGATAACAACCTTTTCTGATTATTCTCAGGTAGACGAGGGGTTTTTGATGGAACAGTAGAAAATATGCATCTTCATTGGAAGTATCGGGAGCTTGTGAAGATAATATGTAAGGGAAGCCTGGAAGATGTCTATCAGATAGCTCTGACCTTAGAGGCAGAAAGTGGTGGAATATTAGTGGCAGTGGTGAGAGTGAGAAAGGGCTTTGCAATCATTGTGTATCGTGGAAAGAATTATAGTGCCCCTCCTTGTGTGAGGCCTCAAAAGCTTTTAAATAAAAGGCAAGCTTTGAAGCGTTCCATTGAGGCACAGCGCCGTGAGGTAAAATTGTCATCATCAATTTTGTATTTATGTAGGAGTGTCAGTTAATTTGTTTTCAACACTTCCTTTGTGAAAAAAAGGGTAGGATTACATCACATATAAAATGATATATAACTGTAGGTTGTTTTGCACGAGCTTTCAGAAAATGATATTTTCTATGATTTTTTTTTTTAAATACCTTCATAACAAAAGTAATGGTTATTTTATATTGGATATAAAATTTGAGAAGCACCTTTTTTCTTATGTTTGACTTGAAGAGCCTCTTTAATGTTGTAAAAGTTATCTTTCTTTACAAGCACAAAAACCTATCTGAAAAAAAAAAATTGTATTTTTTTCAGTGCTCCAGCTCTTGTTTAGGTCATTCAACCCACTGATAGTGATATAATAAAACACTTCTTACTTATCTTGGAAAAGCACATTACGGTTGATGCTTGTTTGGTAGATATTTGGAGTTAATTCTGTTACTAGTCGTCTTTAAGGTGACCACTACATTGTCGCATGGATTTCCTTCCTCGCCATATTTTCTATTTTTGAAAAAGGAATTTACTGCTAATCTTATATGATGTAAATACCATCACTTTATTTCTTTATACTCATTTCCTGCAGTCGTTGAAGCGTCGTATTTTGATGCTAGATAAGAAAATAAAGGAACTGAAACTTCAGATGGTAAGTGGTCGACATTTTTATTATTATGTTGCTGAAATACTTCTCCATTTGATTTGAATTATGCAATATGGATTATTCAACTGATTAGGTTGAAGATAAGGAGGCTAACAGTAATCAAATAGTTGAAGCATTCAGATTTGACATGGTAAACTATCTCATGCTACTTCTTTAACTCTATAATCTCCTTTCCATTCTACAAATGCAATATTAGCATTTTGTTACATCTGATATGACCATTACAAATATTTCTGGTTAATAGCTAACATCAAACTCAAGTGCCATTTCTTTTTACCCTATGTTTTAGTGGAAATAAAGAGGAAGGATATGATCCATTACTACTATTTAGGGTTGACAGCTGACCTCTAACTTACTGCCGTTTCTTTTATCCTATGTCTTGGTGGACATTAAAAGGATGATATGTAGAGGAGAGACATAAGATGGAAGTACCAATGTCTCCTGAAATCAAGTAGGAGGAAAATGTTCGTTACATTTTCTCTTTTTCTTTTTTATTTTTTTAAATTATATAATTTTTTAACATAAAAAATCATAAATAGTAAATAACTTTATTTAAGAAAAATATTAAATGTAGTAAAAAGATTAAGAAGGTTTTAGTTAAATTGTTTCTTTTTGAAATATGTATTGAAATATAACAAGTAACACTCATCCCTTATTTTATTTAAATTTACACTTGTATTGAAATATGTAAACAAAATAATAAGTTAATAAATTTATCCTTATACTTTATTAAATAATAGGTAAATCCATCAAATGTTTTTCTTACATGGTATAGTTAATTGAATTTTTTTTTATGTGGTTAATGTAGTTAAATCCTTCCAATATAGTTAATTGAAAAATTTTTATATGGCTAATGTATAATAGTTAAATCCTTCAAATGTTTTTCTTATAAAAAATTCTTCAAATTTTATATTTTAATCCTTGTTTAAATTATTTTAGCCATGACTTAAGCACATGATTTCAGAACACTTCTTATGTTGTAATGAAGATGGGCAATATGAAAAGTGATAACGGTATGGGTGTATTTGACTAGTAGAAGTTTAGTAAGGATTATTATTGCCTTGTTGTTACTGGTGATAGCAGCTGAAATAGTTTATGGCATGATTCAAGGCTACAGACAAACAGGACGCTTGTGCGAATTCCATAAATTGGAATTCTCCTAAAGAAGCTTCTGCTGCCAATCAACAAACAATACAGGGGCAGCCAGTTGAGCTGACCGATGGTGGTGGACCTCATCAAGGTGAACAAGAAAATTCCATAAATTGGAATTCTCCTACAGAAGCTTCCGTTGACAATCAGCAAGCAATACAGGAGCAGCCAATTGAGCTTATTGATGGATGTGGAGCAAATGATGGGGAACCAAATATTTCCATAAATTTGAATTCTCCTAAAGAAGCTTCTCTTGAAAATCTAAAAGCAACAGTGGAGCACCCAGTTGAGCTAATTGATGGATGTGGAGCTCATCAAGATGAACCAAAAAATTCCATTTATTCGAATTCTCCTAAAGATGCTTCTGTTGACAAACTACAAGGAATACAGTATCAGCCAGATGAGCTGATTGATAGTGGTGGAGCTCATCAAGGTGAACCGGAAAATACCACAAGTTGGAATTCTTCTATAAAAGCTTCCATTAGCAATCTACTTATACAGGAGAAAGCGGTAGCAGTTGAGCTGATTGATGGTGGCGGTGCTCGTCAAGATGAACCAAAAACTTGGTCTAGTTTGATTCATAAAGAAACACAAGTAAGCACACAGCTTTATTGATGAAAATTGAACTTTTTAATGCAATGATCTCCTGGACCCTGGTTATGCCAAGGTTTCATTTGACTTGTTTTTAGCGTCATATTTCTTTTTTAATTATCAATATGGGAAAATTATCTTGGATTTCAGTTGGATGAAATGAGTGATTCGGTGGCTGATACTGAACATTGCATCTCCAATAGCAACAAGGCAATGGAGCCATCAGACTCATCATCAAAAAATGATCTTGAACCATCAGTTCCAGTGATAAATATGAGTTTTCCTTCTAGATCTCTGCATTTTTCAACCAAAGATAGGCTTCTTCTACGGAAGCAGGCCTTAAAGATGAAGCAACCTGTTGTTTCCATAGGTATTGTTTTCAGCTATACTTTCTTTTTGCCATATTGATTGTTCTAGGTTGTAAGGCGAGGTAGGGGGGTGTTCTTCTTTAGTGACAAAAACTAGTTTTAGCAGTCACTGACTAGCTTAGTCCTCTAGGTTTTGGTCTTTGTTACAATAAAGAATTGACAAAAGCTATTCGCTTCTTCAATTGATGCCAACATTTTGAAAAAATAATTTATTCTGGAACTGTTGCCTCTTGATTCGTCTTGTGTTGTATTACTTTTGTATTTTCCTGAAATTATACTAATTGGGAGGCACCATCTCTTCTCTCTTTTCTATGGCCATACAATTCTCAGGAAAGAGCAATATTGTGTCTGCTGTTGTGCAAACAATTAAAGCTCACTTCGAACACCTCCCTTTTGCTATAGTTAATGTCAAAGGAAGGGCAAAAGGGACCTCAGTTCAGGAGCTGGTGTTCAAGCTAGAGGTATACATGCTTAAAGTTCATTCGCTTTCCTCATCTCTTCCTCGTTGAATCTTTAGCAATAAATACTACCTACATGCTCATTTTTTTTTTTTTTCTGTTATTCTTGCAGCAAGAAACAGGTTCCCTTCTAGTCTCTCGGGAGCCTAGTAACATCATACTTTATAGGGGTTGGCCAGCCGATGAACCTATCCCTGCAATTAATGGTACTAAAATGAGTAACGTGAGAGGAACAAAACCCAGTTTCTCCCCTGCCTTTACACACAGGATCGGGAACAGGAAAAGAAGAATAAGTATGATAGGGAAAAGAAGAATAAGTAGTAGGATAGGGAAAAGAAGTATTGGTAGGACAGGCTCAAGGTCAAATTTTAATTTTAGGAGAAATTCTACCTCCATTTTCAATCCTAGTTCGTAACATCATAATTTAGCTATGTGAAGTCAGAGGGAAAATTTTGGGGCGATTGGAGAATATTGAATTTTTATTGGGAAGAACACCAAACAAGAACTGAAAAAGACTGAAGAAATATTACAGGGAAGAGGCCTATACTAATTTTGAAGCCTTCCTTCACTCCTCAAAGTGCCTAGTGTTTTGTTCCTGTCGACTCAACTCCCATGTTTCATCACATTTGCCAGGTACAAAGTCATAATACTCAGTATGTTTGAATCATAATGGGCAATAGAAGAAAAAAATGTTAGAAAAATACAATTTGTTAGAAAAAAATGAAAGGGAAAAAAATGTAGAGAATTAAAATTGTGTTCGTTAATTGAAAATTTGGAACTCATTACATTCGTTAGGACTCCTGTTTCTTTTTTTATTTGCTATTTATCTTTATTTAAAACAATGTTCAAAAACAATGATAAATTTTAAGAATTGAAACAAAAATACTTTTCTCTTTGATTTTTATCATCATATGAATTTTAGCTTATAAAAAATTATATAGTGTTAATATTTTGTGTTCAAATAAGGGGAAATTCGACTTACCTTACTCATGATATCCTAAATTATAATCGTATTCTCACTAATTTTAGAATAAACACTTATCTCTACTTCAAACATAAAATGACATTCATAATTTTTTTAAAATTTTAAATAAACATTTACGTCTTTCTTATTTATGATAGACGCTATTATTTATGTTTTAGTTAATGTGATATTTAAAAATAAAATAAAGGGATATAGTGTCATTTTATTAAATATATAAAGGAAACATAAAGGTGGGAATAGTCATTTATTAAAAAATATTAGAGAATTAAATGTAATTTTATTAAAAGCATAAAGGAAGCAAATTCTATTTAATGTCTATTTTAAAACATAGTTATTGATTTCACTCATTACATTGTAGGTTAACAGGCTTAGAAAAATATTGATGGTGAAATATAAAATATTTTTTCTTATAATAAATTACAGACAAATTTACTATCATTAATTAAATTGATCAACTTTCTTAACATGTTATTAGTCATAACTTATAATTACCTTATACGTCGATACACGTGAAGTATTATAATACAACCATACGTTCAACCACTTCTAAAACAAAGTTAACTATATTTATAAATATTAGCGGAAACAAAGTTTTTATTTAGAATTTACAATTATACATTTAAGACGAGAAAATAAAAATGTGTAATTAAGGATGTTTTACGAAAAAAGAGAAGTGACATTGAATGTATAATTGAGGGTGTCTTGAAGACAGAAATAACAATCTTTTATTAATTAATTTGTTAATTATATTGGGAAAAAATTAATTATAAGAGAAAGGAAATAAAACATTATGATAAATAAAATATTAATTGATGATAAAAAAATAATTACAAAATATAATTTTTTATATTTTCTTATAGATAATAGTTGTTCAGTCGTGACTATTAAAAATTTCAACACTATTTACCATTTGAGGTAAAAAGTTAAAGGAGAGTAAAAATTTCCAAAAAGTTTAATATAAAATATATAACACAAAATACATAACTTTAATATATATATATATATATATATATATATATATATATATATATATATCGTATGTAATAAATGCATGTATTTTAGGTATGGTATTTATTTAGTTAGTAACTTTTATTTAGAATTAAAAAAAACTTATTAAAATATAGCTATTAAGGACAAAAATATTCAAAATTAAAAAATTATTTAGAATTTAATTTTATATATTTGTACTTTTATTTAAATTTATGAAATTAAACTTATTTTTAAAGAAATTAATTTTATTAAAATGTATACTTTAAAATAAAATTTATTTTATTTTATGTTATTTTTTAAAAAGATTAATTTATTTATATTCATATTTTTTATGTAATTTTATTTATATTATATGTTAAGATCAAATTTTTATTTTTTTAAAAATTACACAAAGCTTATTTTAAATTAATAAAAATAAAAATATATGAATAAATGAGAGAGTATTTATAAATACATGTGAATATAAAATAATCTGATTTAAAAAAAAAAGAGGAACATCATACTAATGATTCACATACATAGCTTCGTAAACAAAACTTTCAAAAATAAAATTAAAAAAAAAACTCTTAAATATTATAATAAAATTTTAAAACAATCTCTCAAAATAAAATTAAAAAATAAATATACATAATTTCTCTTACATAATATCATAAATAATCGAACATTCTGTAAAATTAAATTAAATCTCGCCAATTATCTTTCTTCTGTGAATATGTTGTTCACATAAGGTCATTTTGCCTACACAAATTACAAAATGTAAAAGAATTTGAAATTTATCTTACAAAAAATATAGGTTAAAATCAAACACATGCAAACATTAATTATATTTTCATCTTGTAAATTAAATTAAATTTCAATAATCTTAATTATATATAATTATGAATTTTTGTTTTCGAAAGTTGATATTTATTTAAACACCATATCTTCCTCCGTTTGATTATTTTATTTGGAAGTTGGAAAGTTGGTGTGTATAGCATATAGAGTACGTTATCCATGTCTGTGTCGATGGAGTAACTAGCTGCTTCTCCCAAATGTTGCTTCCTGCAACTCACTTCCACTCCATTCCTTCTTCTTCATCACCACTGCACATTTTCCCTCTTCAATTTCCCAAACCCAAACTCAAATTCCTCATTCGCTGCTCCGACACCCAAACCCTCCCCGACTCCGCCATTCAACGAATTGCCGACAAGCTCCGCACCCTTGGCATCGCCGACCAGCCCTCCGACGCTCCTCTTCCCGATCCTCCCTCCGGAGCCGGCGAAATATTCGTGCCGCTGCCGCAGCATCTGCCGAAGCGGCGCGTGGGGCACACGATCGATCCGAGCTGGGCGAAGCCGGAGAAGCGGGTACCAACGCTGGCGGAGCTGAGCCTGTCGAATGCGGAGATCAGCCGGCTCACGACGGCGGGCTTGAGGATGAGGCAGAAGCTGCGGGTGGGGAAGGCGGGGATCACGGAAGGGATCGTGAACGGGATTCACGAGCGGTGGAGGAGTTCCGAGGTTGTGAAAATCGCGTGCGATGATCTCTCTAGGTTTAACATGAAAAGGACTCATGACTTGTTGGAGGTAAGGAAACAAAGCAACACAAAAAGCCATTTTTTCTGCTACTTCTTCAAAATTCCTAGCTTATGTTGCTAGCATTTCAAAATGTAACCATATAGTGTGTTCAAAGTTGTGTGTTAGAGAGTATATTGCTAGCATTTCTCCATTTGGATGAGTGCTAGCGAAACACTATCTGAAGCACTACTTTGAAAACTCATTATAATTTATTAAAAATTATATATATTGAAAAAAAAAAGATCTATAAAACTCTAAGATAGATTCTTTAAATACTAAGTGCGACTCACATTGTGATTTCCAAAAAATTTCAATTAATGTTAGTGTGTTTAGAAGAGTGTCTTGCTAGCATTTTTCCGATTTTTAGTGCTCTGTGGAAATAGCACAAGGTTTGGAGTTGGAAGCCCCGGACATGTCACTCAGAATTAAAAATCATAGTAGCTAGAATTCTTGCTATATTTGGATACATTTTTCTCAAAAACACTTATTGAAAATAGTAGCTATCATTTTGGCTTTGTTTTGATAAATTTCTGTGTAAAAACTCATAGGTGAAGAAAATAATAGTTAGAATTTTGGTTTTGTGTAGATAAATTTCTCTATAAGTACTTGTAGAAGAAGAAAGAAAAAAAACAAGATGAATTGAGTTTCTCTCTTAAGTTAAAATCAAATTATAGCATGTTTGGTTGGACATCAACCCTCACGCATGTCCGTCTAAAACATTTCAATCTGCACTATCTTTTAAGATTTTAACGTGTTTTTACCTTGGCTTCAGTTCTGGAGAAGCTAGGCGAGAGAGTTTCTATAAAAGTTAAATGTATAAGTTGATTTTGAGACACTTAATTCATTTTAAATTCTTATTTTCTTCTCTTACTAAATGTTTATAAACAAGTTTATCCAGACAAAACTTTTAATTAGAATGTCTTTTTACATTGGCATTCAATCATGACTTGTCTGGTATGAACAGATTAATGGCTTTTACAATAAGAGGAGTGCTAGCAACTTATAATTATTTTTTAAAAGTCATATCTATTTTCGATGGTGCTTTCTGTCGGTTGACATTGACATAGTAATTTTTATTTTAATAAAGACAATCAATAGCTAGTTCCAGAGGGGGGTGGAAACCCAATTCTTTCTATTTGCAATAAAATCTGTATATAATTTCTCTTCATATTTTTTTCTGGGATAAAGTTAACAATCAATGCATGAATGCTTGAAAATTGGTGATATAGTTGTACTGTATCAGGATGGATAAGAACGGAATCTAACTAAGTGATCAACAAAATCTTCAAAAGAATCAATAAGAACTTCAAAGTTTAAGATGTGATTGTATTGCACTGAATTCATGTACATGTGCAATACTAAGAAGTTCCCTTCGACCATAAGTAAATGCAGGAAATTCTGTGTGGTTCAAAGCTCACCCTTAAATTCTACTAAGTGAGTTTTCTGCCCGCGTGCAAGAAATTATAATTGCACTACTTTGCATGGTTTGATAAGTTCAGAGCTGAATACATAAATGGTATTTGTTTGATTTTCCATTATCAATTGATATAATTTTATTTATGGTTGTTACGAGAATGTCATTCTATTTTCATGTTGTTCTCTCGGGGTATTTTTAAAATGGCAAAAACATAATTTTGGTTTTTTCCCTGATCCTTTTTTCTTTGAAAATTATTGAAATCAAGAGATAAAGTAAAATATGTGTCATATTCGTCATTATTAGTAAAATTGTATGACATTAAAATTGAAATATAAAATAAACCTCACATTACCTAGGTTTACAATTGCATGAGGTTTTCCTCAAAAAACTATGGCTGAAGAGGCTATCTGCATTTTATCTTTTATTTTCTCCAACGTGATTCCAGTGCCCTTGAGTAATATATGATTGTCGTTTACTCCTTTGTCATTGTCAGAGAAAAACTGGAGGGCTTGTTGTTTGGAGATCTGGAAGTAAGATAATATTATACAGAGGGACTGATTATAAATACCCTTACTTCCTATCAGATAAAGTTTTGAGAGATGATCACAGTGATGACGCCTTGCAACATTTGGATGAGGATGAAAAAAGTTGGGATAAAAGAGAGAGCCACTCATCTGAAAAGAATTCAGTGACATATACTGGACAAAGTTCAAATGCCAAAACGGTAAAACCAGCTCTGATACAAGGCGTTGGGACTCCCAATAAAGCACGATTTCAACTGCCAGGTGAGGCAGAGCTTGCAAAAGATGCAGACTACATGTTAACAGGAATTGGGCCACGATTTGTTGATTGGTGGGGCTATGACCCTCTGCCTGTTGATGCTGATCTTCTACCAGCTGTTATTCCTGGATATAGGAAGCCTTTTCGCCTTCTTCCATATGGTGTGAAGCCAAAACTAACAGATGATGAAATGACCACAATGAGGAGACTGGGCAAACATTTACCATGTCATTTTGCATTGGGTGAGTTTGCCTTAACTTTTTCTTATCTGACCAAAATTAGATGTAACTGTTTTCTTGTTCTGTTGTCTCACAGGTAGAAACAGGAAACTACAAGGATTGGCTGTTGCAATTATTAAGCTTTGGGAAAGATGTGAGATTGTCAAGATTGCTATAAAGAGAGGTGTGGAGAATACTAATGGTGAGGTAATGGCTGAAGAGATAAAGGTCAGTTATTGTTTTTTCTGATATTTTTCAACTTTATGGAATTTAACACTTATGATTTAAATATTATGGTCAATGGAAGTGTATAACCTGTTGTGTGGACTGTTGTCAACCATTACCATTCACTAACATCATAATGTAAATTATTTGAGAAGATGATTAGCAAGCATATTTCACCCTGGATGGTAATTAAATTTGCATATTTTCTGTCATTTTTATTTTGATTCTGCCTCATACTTGAACATTTATGACAAAAGTGGATTCTATATATATTGCATTATATTAACTTATTATTGGATGTTTCCAATCAACCTGTAGGTAAAATTAGCTAGTGTAGTGTCTGAAAAGAAATCATAATTCCGGTTATTTTAGCTTGCAAGTTCCAAATGACAATTAGAAATTTGTTTTAAAAAAAATTATTCACTTTATCTTTTCCTTGTTTACTTTTTGCTTCATTCAGATTATTAGTCATATTTTTGGTGGAAAACATCTACCATACTATGTTTAGAATGCTCTGGTTTATGAATGAGTCAAAATGGAATAATTAAAAGATCAAGAGATGTCAGTTTAGTACAATCTGTCAGAATGTAATTAATGATTAGAATTCAGGTATTTTAAAGTAAACTGAACCCAACACCACACACAAATATAAACTTATTATTGGATGTTTCCAATCAACCTGTAGGTAAAATTAGCTAGTGTAGTGTCTGAAAAGAAATCATAATTCCGGTTATTTTAGCTTGCAAGTTCCAAATGACAATTAGAAATTTGTTTTAAAAAAAATTATTCACTTTATCTTTTCCTTGTTTACTTTTTGCTTCATTCAGATTATTAGTCATATTTTTGGTGGAAAACATCTACCATACTATGTTTAGAATGCTCTGGTTTATGAATGAGTCAAAATGGAATAATTAAAAGATCAAGAGATGTCAGTTTAGTACAATCTGTCAGAATGTAATTAATGATTAGAATTCAGGTATTTTAAAGTAAACTGAACCCAACACCACACACAGAACACCAGCAACAACCTTAAACACAGACCGATTTACTCTCTCAACAAAACCGACACTAACCAGAAAATGATGTAACATAGTTGAGACAAAAATAAGTACTGCCTCCTAATTCCCAGAGTTATAACTTTGTAAGCCTGATAGCTGAATTCCTTTTTAACTTCCTCTCTACCCCCATTAATTTCATGCTACTTCTTATAATGATTGGTTACCCCAGTAACAACCTCTTGCATAACAGAATGACCCTCCTCATTGCTGCCATGTTTCCCTCTCCTTATGGTGTCAAAAAGGATATATAATACTATTATATCTCAATTTCAGTTCAATAAAAAGATATATTTCTCTGCAGTATCTGACTGGAGGTACTCTCCTTGCTCGGGATAAAGAATTCATTGTTTTCTATAGAGGAAAGGACTTCTTGCCAGCTGCAGTGTCATCAGCAATTGAACAACGGAGGATGTATAAACTGAAGACTGCAAATAGTTTGTCAGTTACTGATGCTCCAGACCTGAATGATGGAACCATAGAGTGTGATTCAGAAGTAAAGGGTATGAACTTCCAGAAAGATGCTAAACAAGGAATATTGACTGAGGCTGAGAAAGCTATTAAAAGCACCAGCGTAAAATTGTCAATGGTATGGTTTCATTAACAATCTCCAATTTTCTGCTTTTCAATTTCTTTTTTTTTTTTAGTTACAGATGGTATAGTAGCTTTCACATTCAGGCACTAGAAGAGAAAACAAAGGCTGAAAAACTTCTAGCAGAGCTGGAAAATGCAGAGAGCCCCCAAGAAGAAGAAATCAATAAAGAGATTATTACTGAAGATGAGAAATACATGTTGCGGAGGATTGGCTTGAAGATGAGTCCCTTCCTGTTACTAGGTGATGCTTGATGATGATGACTGAAATTCATTTGATTGTTCTGAATTTGGACTGAAATGATTGAGACCTCTATACCTATTTACAGTAGACCTAAGACAAGATATTTTTCCTGATAAATCCTCTCTTCTTTCTCAGGTAGACGGGGGGTTTTTGATGGAACAGTGGAAAATATGCATCTTCATTGGAAGTATCGGGAACTTGTGAAGATAATATGTAATAAACAGGTTATAAGCCTTGAAGATGTCCAACAGATAGCTCAGACCTTAGAGGCAGAAAGTGGCGGAATATTAATTGCAGTAGAAAGAGTGCGCAAGGGCTATGCAATCATTGTGTATCGTGGAAAGAATTATAGTCGGCCTGCAAGTTTGAGGCCTCGAACACTTTTAAATAAAAAAGAAGCATTGAGGCGCTCTAAAGAAGCACAGCGCTCCGAGGTAAAGGTGTCATCATTAACTTGTATTTGCAGAGGAGTGTCTGTCAGCTGATTTGTTTTCTACTGTTTTATTTTTTGTCAAAAAGAGAAATGGAAGGGCAGGTGCGAGACATTTAATTGCCAGTATATCGCGTGTGAAATGATGATTATAGTTTATAGATTGGTTTTGCAACACCTTTAATAAAAAGGATCTTTTCATATGTAATATTTTGTTGAGAAAATCATTTTTTGTTTTGATGTAAAATTTGAAAAGTACTTATTTTTTAATTTTTAATATTTGTGCCGTTTTTTCTATTTTGTAAAAAAATCACTTTATTAGAAGCAACAAACGCTAGCTTAAAACAAATCAGTTTTTCTGTTTTTAATGCTCAATTTTTAAAGAAGGGCTCATCTGAACATTCTAGAACATACTATTGGTGCTCTGACAAGTGATTGCGACACGAGGCATGAGTCTTCATCCTTGTCATTCATTTACCCCATCATTTGGAAAGGGAATTAACTGCTAATCTTATATGGCATAAATATCACAAACTTATTCCTTTCTTCTCAATTCTTGCAGTCATTGAAGCTCCATGTTTTGAAGCTAGATAGGAACATAAACAAATTGAAACTTCAAATGGTGAGTGGTCCTTGTTTTCTTTATTATGTTAATGAATACATTTTGATTTCAATTAAGGAATATAGGTTATTCACCTTATTAGGCTCAAGATACGGAGGCAAACAATAAGCAATTTCCAGTTGACAATCAACAAGCTATAAACAAGCAGCCACTTCAACTGATTGATAGTGGTGGAGCTCATCTAGCTGAACCAGGAAATTCCATAAATTGGAATTCTCCTTATGAAGTTTCTATTGAATATCGACAAGCAATACAGGAGCAGTCAGTTGAGCTGCTTGATGGTGGTGGAGCTCATCAAAGTGAAGCTGACAATTTCATAAATTGGAACCCTACCAAAGAAGCTTCCATTGATAATCCGCAACCAATACAGGGGCAGCCAGTTGAGCTGATAGATAGTGGTGAAGCTCATCAAGGTGAACCAGAAAATTCCATAAATTGGAATTCTCCTAAGGAAGCCTCTGTTGACAATCAGCAAGCTATACAGGATCAGTCAGTTGATTTGATTGATGGTGGCGGAGTTCATCAAGATGAACCAGGATCCTGGCCTGGTTTGATTCCTAAAGATACAAAGGTAAGCACATGACTTTGACTGATGAGAAATGAACTGCTGAGCTCAATCCTCTCCTAGATTAGCATCAGTTTATGTCAAGTTTTCCTTTGACATTTTTGGAATTCTTGCTTGTCTAAATATTGATTTGGTAAAAGTTGTCCTGGATTCAGTTGGATAGAGTTAGTGATTCTGTGGTTGATACTGAGCATTGCGTCTCGATTAGCAAGTTAACGGAATCATCAATATCGTCTAAGAGTGATCCTGACCTATCAGCTCTGGTGAGAGATATGAGTTCAAATGGGTTACCTTCTAGATCGGTATATCTTTCCAACAGAGAGAGACTTCTTCTGCGAAAGCAGGCATTGACTATGAAAAAGCGGCCTGTCCTTTCTGTAGGTATTGGTTCTGCCTTTATTTTCCTTATGCCAATATTGTTTGTTTGTTTATTTGATTGTTCTAAGTTGTGTCAACATTCTGTAAGTCTATCTAAGTTTATGCTATGCAATCTTGCTATGATTTTTTGTAGCGCTCTATCTTGTGTGGTTTGCTACTTTCTCTTTTCTTTAATTACCCAGGGGGGTCATTAGTCACAAACTATAGCTTGTTTCTAGCATTTTAGGTTTTGTTCCTTAGGTAGCGTTTGACCTTTTTATGAGTGGGCTTCTCTTCTTGTGTTTGGTTAAGTGGATGGTGAGGATGTAATTAATTGTTTGGTAGAAGAGAAGAAAGGAGAAATAATTTAAAAATGGCAAGACTTGTTATTATTTCTCACTTATTTTTACTCATTCTCACTTAATCTCTTTTCTATTTCTTTTCAACTATACACTTTTATTTTTCACTTTTATTTTTCATTTTTATTTTTCACTTTTATTTTTCATTTTTATTTTTCACTTTTACTTTTCCCCTAATTATACTTATCCACAAAAAAGTAGCTTTTACATTTTTAATAAAAAAAAAAACAAAAACAGAAACTTCCATGGAGAGCTAATTGGCGGAGCTTCTTGCCTGAGAAGACAAGTTAAAAGAAGTACTTTCGTTTTAATAATATATGCCTTAAGTTGATGTAAAATTTCAATATCAACATCTTGAAAGGTCTTCATTCTAGATGATGTAGAAAGTACTTTCTTTCCACCATCCTTTGTATTTTCTTGAAATTATTCTATTGGAAAGAATGTCTATATCTCTTTATTGTTTTATGGCCGCTACTTCTTTTTCAGGAAAGAGCAATATTGTAACTGGTATTGCGAAAGCAATCAAAGCTCACTTCCAGAAACATCCTCTTGCCGTAGTTAATATCAAAGGAAGGGCAAAAGGGACCTCAATTCAGGAGGTGGTGTCCATGCTAGAGGTGCGCATGCTGAAAAAATTCCTTCCATTTTTCTCATCTCTTCCTCATTGAAATTTATTTCATGTCTTGGGCAAAAATCATTCCCTAAATTCTTGAAATTTGTTTTCCTTATTATTCTTGCAGCAAGCAACAGGTGGCATTCTAGTCTCTCAGGAGTTTCACAAAATCATACTGTACAGGGGTTGGGGGGAAGGAGAGAAACCTAGCCCTGCTATAAATGTTAAGAAATTGGGTAAAGAGGCAGAGACAAAGCCCAGTGTATCTCCTGAACTCTTGCAAGCAATCAGAATTGAATGTGGATTGCAGTAACAAAAGTAACAATGCATTTCATTACTGATCAAAGTTTTTACAAACATTTCCATTATTTTCAAATCACTACAATTTTAGGAACTATAGAGATAGAGCTACTTAGTTAAGAAGTTTGGGAATTGCTGATGATTAATATTGAAACTTTTAGGGTGTCAGAAACATTTGATTGTACATTTGTACTTGGAGAGAAAACACCAAACAGAACTTGAAAAGAAATAAGAAATACACACAGCACTTAAGTGCCTAAACTTGTGTCTGTTTACCCTCATGTAATGGCTCCCAGAAAAATTCTACCATGGATAGGTAGATGTAGAAGTCCGTGATCAACAATCAAAGTCAATTATGGCGATGTGGCAAGTGATTTTTTATAGTTGATGTGGGCAGAGTGTTGACATGGTAGTAATGTGGTAGGTGACTTGGCAAAGCAGGTGCTGTCTGTGGTAGATGATTGGACGTGACACAAATTTTGCATGATTGTAGGTGCTCAGATAGTCATCAAATTTTGAGCCTTAACATATGTAAATATTCTTAACTATGGTTTTATTGAGGGTTCCAAAGTAGAAGATTGGGATAAATACAAATTCAAGATTATAATAGAGCTCAATGACAATATGGAGTCTTATTCTTCTCAATGTATAACACCTTTGTCATTTAACTGTATAACTTAATTGTACAATTATTGTCACAGATAGTTGTACTAATTTAACATGTAATTTCACCATACAAAGGCATATGGGTAAATATGATGATGACACGATGAATTTTATATATACACACACACACACACGAGTGTTGCTCTTTAAAATCCATATTTTTGAGTTTGTGGCACAATGTATTAATGAACTGAACATAGAAATATGGATGGAAGAATATTATGATGGTTTGATTATTAAGTGATTACTTTGGACAAATAATCTCATGTATGACATGTTCGACAGCTCAGAAGTCTACGTGATATTAAAATTTTTCATATTTTCTTAAATTTAAAACGATTACTATTACTATTATTATTATTATTATTATTATTATTATTATTATTATTATTATTATTATTATTATTATTACTATTATTATTATTATTATTATTATTATTATTACTATTATTATTATTATTACTACTATTATTATTATTATTATTATTATTAAATTTACTTTGGTAGATGAGATTTTATTGAAGATATTTTTCAAAACAGCTAAATAAGTCATAATATATAGAAAGATGGATTATTTTATAATATTTGGAGTAAATTATACCAATATTTCTATTATTTTGTTAATTATGTATCATTATTTATTTACGTTTATTATAATAATTTTATAGAAATATAATACAATATTTTTCAATTAATCAATAACGTTCATTATTTATTTACGTTTATTATAATAATTTTTATAGAAAATATAATACAATATTTTTCAATTAATCAATAACGTTCGGGTAATATTTAAAGGTACAACAAATACAATGGTTGTAAAACAACATATACTTACATTCTAAAAACAACTATCAAATAAAACCTGAACAAAACATCAGGCACTAAAATAAGTTTTTTAAAGAGATAAAAACTAAAATAAATTTTGACAAAAAAAAGGCTTGTTTTTAATCTGATTCGATTATTTTTATAGTACATTAAAAACATTTTATAGAAAAAAATCACATTGAAAATTTAGTTTAAAAAAAACTTGTTAAGTTTCTTTTTACCCATTCCGTTAATATTGTTGTTTACGTGATAAGTAGAAAACCTACCTCACCAACCAACTAATGAATCCATGGTAAAATAATATATATATATATATATATATATATATATATATATATATATATATATATATGAATTTGTATTCTAATCTTAAAAGAAAAAGAGGTTACATATTTATTTCTTCTAAATAATAAAACTGATTAAAAATCATATTCTCCGTTACAATAGGTTGCGTTCACACAAATAATAATCAATTTTATGTTCTGGAAAGAATTAAATTAGTTTTATGAGTGGAAACGAATATTTTAATTACATTTTCTCTCATGTATTTTTATATATATCTGTATCTCTTAACAATCAAATTACATAACTTTCAAATTCTCCATCTCACATATTTTTACTTTATTAAATAATTAAATATTCAATCTAATAATATTTTTATTTCTTTCTTCCAATATTAACTAGCATTTCGCAATCTCGACAACTGTTGTCTCTGTTACAGAGTACATTCAATTCAACTTTTTAGTTCAGTCAAACTTGTCAGATGAAGAAAAAACAGAGTATGTGTACTAAACCTATATGTTTTTCATGTTGTAAACATGATTATGTAACGTCAACAACAAAAAATTCAAATACTTTAATATTCGATATAAATAAAACTGTCATATTTTATAACTTCTTAATCATTTTTTTTGTCTTTTATTCACTCACATCCTTATTTTTTTCTTATTTCAGCATAATTTAAAATAAACAATTAATACAAAATGAGTTTAATTTTGTATATATTTAAGAATAACAAAACTATCCCTCTTTTATTCAATCACATTCATTTATCCTTCAAAATTATCCAACAAGCATTAATTAACCTGATTAGTTTAAACTTAAATTTGTCCAAACACATGTTTATGGACTAAAAACCTATTTGACAAGTGTTAACAAATTTAAAAATGCAAATTTAAAAAGAATAATGAGTGCATACGGTGTAAATTAACTTTTATTTATAAATAATTTCACATTCTCATTTAATCTTGTAACTTTATAACCACTTGTAATTGTTTAATATTTGTATTTGTATTTAAACAACACATCTTTTCTATTTTATTTTTACCCTCGTACTTTTTTCTGCTTTGTTTCTCTCCTATATTTTATTTAATTTTTCATTTAAATAAATTAAAAAAAATTCTTTTTTATACTTATTTAAATAATCAATGAGAGATAAATAAAATAAAATAAAAATAATATAGAACATTTTTATAAAAAACACTTGTCACTATCCTTCACTAAAGGCAAAACTGACATGAGTAAGGTGGAAGATTTTCCTTTGACTAATAAGTTAAAAAACTTTATCTCAATTATATGTTTGGTAAGAATAAAATGTTTGAAAAATAACTATAATAATATACTTCCTAGCACAATTTTTTTTATCCATTCATTAAAATTGACTAAAATTTACTAAAAATATACAAATTTTGTGTATGTTATTTTTTATTTTTCGATGTTCTTTTATGATTATATAACTTTGAAGACATTTTTAATCAATGCTAGCATAAAATGAAGGTTTAACAAAAAATAAATTCAAACTTCAGTGTAATTATAAATTAGCATAAATTATATATATAAAAATATATATTAATTTGATGTAAATAAATAGGATCATACTAATTACACTGTTTTTAAGATAGCTTTTAGTAATATTAATAAGGTACATATATTGATTTACTTTATTAACATTAAAAAAATAATATAATAAAATTTAAAAATATCAATAAATAATGTTAAAAAATTAAATTAGATGAAGTGTAAGAGTAAAACTCTCTATACCGGATATTTTTTAGAGATATATCATACTTATTCAAATCAATATTATTATACAAATTATCAATTTTCTAATAATGATATTAAGTATTTTTAAAAGAAATTAATAATTAAGAAATTCTCATAAATATGAAACATCAATCAACCATAAAAAAAAATTATGACATAATTTTTAACTGAAAGCTTAAGACATAATATTGTGTTCTTATAAATTAGTTAATTTTCTTATTATTTGAAGTGTATCCAAATTCCTAAACCAACGTAAATATATTTCCATAATTCTGAGTTGGTTTTTCCACGCATGCAAAAGTAAAAGTAAGGGTTTCCATTACGAACAAGATAAAACCCTGGTCCGTGTGTAAAACTGTCTGCACCAGTCCCACGTTGGCAAAGAGACAAAGAGGCACAATATATGCATCATATCATTATTTTATTCACTTTACAGTGCCATGGAATGGATTACTGTAGTAAAGGGTAGACCTGAGGAGCCACCATAGGTTTCATAAATGGATCCACTCTCCACCATGTCAGAGATCGATAAAAGAGAGAGAGAGAGAGAGAGTTGTAAAGAGTGCACAAAATCCTTGAACCTCTTCTGCCTCTGTTTCAACGCCAGAAATCATCATGTCCCTCTGCTATGTTCTCTATCGCCATCATTGTGCCCACATCATCATCACCATCACCCTCCTTTTCTCCTTAGCCCTCAACCACCCCACGAACCTAAACCCCCCACCATCATTATTACTTCTTCACCTCCTCGTCACCACAACCAACACCACCAAACTCATGGAAAAACCAAAGGGAAGTAAGCGCCTCCACAACATCAACAACAATATCTCTATCGCACTCTCATGTTTTGTTCTTCTTGTTGTTGTTGGTTGAAGAACAGAAAAACAGCAACAACAGCAAGCCAACATCATCACTTTCTCCTCTGATACCATTGTTCCTAGTTTCTCACCGAAGAAAGGCTACTGCCACTACCACTGTCGTCTCTCTGCATTCTTTTTCGTCTCTCTCTCTCTCTCTTTCTTTCTGGGGAATCAAGCGTTGTGGTCCGATCATTAATTAGCTTGCCACATCAAGCAAGTTAATTTGTCTACTTTACTTTAGCTTTTTAGTTTCTAAACCTTTTCATGTGGGTTTCTTTTCTTTCTATTTTTCTCTCGAGTTTACATATCTAGGGTTTATGTTTTTGTATCTGAAAAGTGAAAACTTTGCAAGCTTGTTATCTTATGTTCATCTTTGTTGCTTTGACCTTGTGGCTACTAAATATTCTGGTTTAACTTCCTTCTTTGTATGAACTCTCGTCTTTATCTATGTATTTGAGTTTAGTGCTTCACATGTTTATTTATGTTCATCCCATCAAGGTTTTAAACTTGTAAGAGATAATATGTTAAATTAGATTTTGTGTTAGATCTATGTCATGGTTTTGGTCAAAGTTTAATTTTCTCCTTTCATATCTGAGATTACTTACTTCTCTGGAAA